TGTATTGAAACGTTTTGGATGATTTAGTTGCTACATCTTTATTCACTAGTTCATGTAATCGAGAGAGGCATAACTTGTGATGTTTTTGCATTATATTGTTGGTTGAATTCATAAATTTTTCTAAGTAATCGAAAGAGGCTAGTTGAATCATTGATTAAACCTAGTTAGGAGAATAATCGAAAGAGGTTTTTCTAAAGACCAACCCATTACGCATTCTTGCACATCTTCACGTGCTTAAATTGGTTCATCTTGTGAGGTTAAGACTTAATCGAGAGAGGAGTTTTTGCTGAACGTTTGAACTAATAATTGAGTGAATTCGAGAGACTCACTTGAATATTAAAATTGAATTATCTAGATATTGATCCCGAACAATTATCGTGCACCTATCCTATCAAAACCCTATATTCTCCCATTGATAACCTTCTTTGCTTGTTCCTTGTTTTGATTGTCATTAGTCAATAGCTTTAGATTCTTAGTTAATTTTAGTTAGATATCTTATAAATCTCAACTGTTGACCATCTTGGAACAACCAAGCTAGAAACTACGAGAATACTGTTTAAATCCAATCCCTGTGGATATGATATTATACTATACTACATTTGATTACCGAGCAGGATTTAAGTGTGTGTTTTGCTCTCGTCAGTCAACAAGTAGTAACAAAAGAAATAAATATAAATAACATGAATCTCAACATAAGAATAATTATGAAATCATCAAATACCATAATCCGCCTCGAAGGAAACAAAGATAACCAATATCAAATATAATTCCAAATATCAAGTCAGGAAAACTCATATGTATGTTGACTCCCTATCAAATATTACGCACGAGTATGCCGAGGCGAAGGGCCCGATCCTATAAGAATAGTCTTTCATAGAACTATCGAGGTGAATGGCCTGATCCCATAAAATGTATCTTATAATCCAGCTGAGGCAAACGGCCTGCTCCCATGAGAGTTTGTTACATGATACTGCCGAGGTCGTACGGCCGATCCGCAGATGCATCTCATAATACTGCCGAGGCGAACGACCTGATCCATAATGATATTGCTGAGGTGTTCAGCCCGATCCCATAACAGTACTACTAAATCGTTCCGTCCGATCCCATAAGAATAGTAAAACTTTTGACGGGTTATCAGCCCAACTTGCGAATATATGTGAGAGTTATGAAATCAAGAAACTTTCGGATAAATAAGTACAACGCGTGAGTAAACCGTAAGAAAAAGTATAATTTCCGCGGCTAATCAAGTAGCGTGCCAAGTTTCTAGAATAACAAAGCTCAATATTTGTATAAGTTTAATCTCAGGCTAAAACGCAAATTAAACCATTTAAACATGCAAGAAAAACTCATGTAGTACAATTAAAGCATGGGGTGAGTCTAAATCTATGCGGACATAATCAAGAAACTAGCATACGTACGGATGCTCGTCACCTCATACGTGCGTAGCTCCCATACCACGTAGCATGTAGCAAGTATAGCACATACGGGGGTAAATTTCCCGTTACCATGTTGGACAGGAGACTTTTTCGGAATTCGATAATCAGCTCCAACGCCTCTCCAACACCTCAAACAATGCCAAGCAATCTGAAACTAGACAAAGAACGTGCGAACCAATCAAAATATACTCAAAGACTTGTAATTTAACAATTAGAAATAAATTCTCAACTCCACATAAAAGTTAACCCCCAGGCCCACACGCCCGGATTCTGAAAATTCTTGAAGATAAATATTACACATAGTACTACGAACTCAAACATATAATTTATTTCAAATTTCACGCCCAATTTCGTGGTAAAAACTCAAAAATATCATTTTTAGGTTTTCTTCCAAAATCTCACAATTTTCACTAATTTTCATGTTTTAATCCGTAAATAATCTATGTATTTATCTCATAATAAGTAGGAATCACTTACCTTGTGATAGATGATAAAAATGACCCTCCAAAATTACCCCAAAATCGGCTCCAAATGAGATAAATGAGATGAAATGAACTAAGTCCCGATTTGCAAACTTATACACTGCCCAGACGTCCCTCTTCGCGATCGCAAAAATATCCTCGCGATCGTGAAGTCCAACATTGCCTCAGCCAAAATCCCCTTCTACCCGAATGCGAGTGACCACTTGCCATCACGAACCTAAGCCGGTCAAGCCTACGCGAACGCGAGCCAAGCTCCTCGAACGCAAAGGCCAATCTTCCAAGTCTCAGAAACTTTTCTTCAGCGATCGTTACCAGCCTTGCTAACACATCACGTTTGCTACCCTCACTATGCGAATGCGAAAAACAACCAGAATACCATAACGCGATCGTGATGCCCTACTGTGATCATGAAGAACAATTCTTCCACAGTTCCGCACAACACTTCGCGATCACAATGCACACCAATGACACCTGAAACCAGCAACTGCGAATCAAAGGGAGATGGTCCAAAACCATCCCGAAACACACCTGTGACCCCCGGGACCCATCCAATCATACCAAAAAGTCCTCATACCTTATCCATAGGTTCGAAACGCCACGAATCAAAACCAAGAATTAACGATCAAAATCCTTCTCTTGACTCTCAAACCTTCAAATATCGCCGAACGTATCCGGATCACACCTAAATATTTTGGATCATGACCAAATTCACACACAAGTTTCAATCAGCTAAATGGACCAATCCGAGGTCCCTGAACATCACTGGGAGTCCGATAATACTAAAGTCCACTCCAAGTCAAACTTAGCAAATTCAAGAATCTTCAAAATGCAAACTTCTGACAGTAAGTGTCGAATCGCTCACGGACCATCTGATACTCAACCCGAACATGTGCCCAAGTCCCAAATTACCTTACGAACCTATAGGAACCTTCAAATTCCGATTCCGAGGTCGTTTACTCAAAAGTCAAACTTTGGTCAACTTTTCCAATCTAAAGCTTTTGAATTGAGAATTATTCTTCCAAATCAACTCTGAACTTCTCGAAAATCAAAACCAACTACACATGCAAGTCATAATGCTTAAAGTGAAACTCAAGGTGTCAAACCGCCGAACGACATGTTAGAACTCAAAACGACTGGTCAGGTTGTTACATAACCATAAATAGTTCGGATTAATGGGTGTAATCATGAACTCAATAGGATTTATAAAACTAACCACAACCTTAGAATCTTCATCTCAATTGAATTAAGACAAAATAATAAACATTTGTGTTCTTGTTAGTTTAGCTACTTAGTTGTTTAAATTATGCAATTTTATTTTAGTCACAATCATCAATCTTTACAGGTTCGCAAAGCATACAAATTCTCCGTGAGTTCCACATTCGACTTTTAAATTAATTTACGATTTGTAGACTCTGTATGCCTACGTATGCTTTGCGAACCAACAAAATGCATCATAAAAAATAAATCAGATGGAGTAATTCCTTTTGGATTTGTGAAAGTATGGAAGGATGAATACTGGTCCATCCACTGGCAAAGCCGCAAAAGAGGGTCTACATTAAATTTTAGAGAATATATTTTTTCCACTCCCCTTGACTAGGCTAAGTTCACAATTAACTTTAACCGAAACAAAAATTCACAATTTACCAACTGAACAAAAGGGCTCAAGAAATTACTCTAATCTCTTTGTAGCTTTAGTGCTGAGAAAAATGTGATGACGTGAATACAACACAAATATAAGTCATGTGCACGTGGATAAAGACTAAAAAGAATTAGATCTAGATCCATACTTTTCTTAAGCTAACACATCTAGAGATAATGATTTAGTGAAGCAAGTAAGCAAGTAAAGTAATGATAAGATAAAATCTGCTATTGCAAAATTGGTTTTATTCACTAAATAATAAGGTTAGAATTCCTATTTTACAATTCAGTTTTATAGAAATATATTTATCAAAAATCTTCTAAAACTTTTTTAACTTATTAATTTATGTAGCTCCACTAGGAATAATTTCATAGACCGCTTCTAAGACTAACATTTTTTGTGATTTATGATATTACACTAACTTATATAATTTTAATTTTATTGTAACAATTCTCTAAATCTGCTACCCCTTTGAATGATATTGTTACCATTTTAAAATAAATAACATATTTTTAAATTTGAAAATAATTCAACTTTAAACTATTTATTTTATTCTTACTGAGAAATTTTTATAACTACACAAATATCATGGCCCCACAAAACTTTTACCCCTTACGTTTTTAAAACTACAAGTTTCGAAAATCTTTTTTTACCTTTAAATTTCGTGCGTAATCAAATTATCTCATTTAAATTGAAACGAAATAGGTAATTTGTTTCCCTTGTGTGGTAAGTAATATCTTTAGTTGCGGTGTGTACCCCACGCCGTACGCACGACCCACTACTCCGCCTGACAAAATAACAAAATAAAATGAAAGACGAACCAATAAGTGCCATCTGTTTCATTTTCACAAAGCTCCAAACAACGCTTCAGATGATTCCACATTCCATTATTTTATTGGCCAAACATCACATCAATCATCAAGACGCACTTAGAGTCCAGGTGCTGACCACCCACAGCGCTAAGTAAATTGAAAAAACAAAATCAGAGCACAAGAATTTTTGCATTATTTCTGATCATTTAAGAAATGCAAATGATTAACTGTCCTTAATTATCACATCATTCTTACAAAAATAAAATAAATAATCTGCTATTACAAAATTGAAATATTGATAACGTATAATCACTCCGTTCGTTCATCAACTATTTTTTTTTTGTCCGTTTTAAAAAAAATGACTCTTTTTTAAATTTAGAAATAATTTAGTTTAAACTTACAATTCCACCATTAATGAGAAATTTTTATAACCATACAATTACTCTGAATCTCTTTATGACTTGTTTAGGATCATAAATTTCAAAATTTTTTATTTTTTTATCCGTTTTTATTCAAATAGGTTCACATAAATTAAAAAAAAAAAATACAAATTAAGTCTAGTTTTAATTGAAAAAATGAGTCGTAGTTGAAAAACAATGAAAAATGTACTAACACTGGCTATAAGAACTAAGAAGTAGCACAAAAATTAGACACTTGTCCTTAACGAGGCGAAGAAATAGGAAACAACAACACGCTTGCTCTTCCGTTCTTTCCAAATTTCTACCTGCCAAAAAGGGGTAAAAATCTCTCTTCTCCCTTTTTTTGCCTGTTTTTTCTTGTCTTGATTTTTCACATTTTCTTTTGTCCTGTCCTACTAGAACTGGCAAAGAAAAATTATTTACTTTTTTCTTGATTTGTTGTGATTTCATTTGTTTTTTCTTTTCTTTTCTGGATATTTGTTGAAATGAAATGGTTCCAAATAAAGTCAAATGGATACAGAGGATTCATATAGACGATCCTGACTAGCTTGAAAGTGTAGTTGATTGATTGATTAATTGATTCCTTGAAACTTTTTGAACTTGAAATGAGCTGCGAGAAGTATAATAGATCTAATTTTTCGTTTCATACGTTTTTTTGGCTATGGAGTATGTTTCATGCATAGCGGACACTAGATGTATGAGTTTGCCGCTGAAGTTGATGCTTTCATGAAGTTTTAATCTAGGCTTGTGGGTGTGAAGTTTTGGATCCAAATGTATTACTGTCAAATATTTATGTTGAATGAACTTATGAACTTGAAATGAGCGTTGAAGAAGGTTAATAGATTGATGTTATTCTTTTGTTTATGGAATATGCTTAAAGTAGTTGGTCCTCGATGAATGAGTTTGACATTGGAGTTGATTCTTGAATGAAGTTTTTATCTAAGCTTGTGGGTGTTTTATTTTGATTTTGAATGAAATTTTGGACTTGAAATGAGTTTGATGGAGGTTAATTATGGTCATACAGTGGTGGAGCTAGAAGTTCAAAACAATTTAAGATTGTCATACCTGGGATTTGAACCTGTATCCTTTCACAAGATTCAAGATTTTATATATGTAAAAAAAAAATTATTTTACCCTATTTTATGTAATATTACTTTTTGACGAAGGTGAAAATCCCCTTTCTTGTATGTGGCTTGGCCAGTGTAGTCATATGAATGAGTTTGTTACTGAAGTTGATACTTGAATGCACTTTTTATCTTGACTTGTCAGTGTTAAGCATTTTCTATCCAAATGTATAAAAGAGGTCCTGGGTTGATTGAGGTCAAGCCATGATTTATAAACTAGCTGTAATGAAGTAAGATCTTAAAGGTTGCATCTTTCTTTACTGTCCTTAGGTCACCATGTTCAAGTTGACGATGAAGACTATGTGTTTCAGCTTGGCCTAATCATCAATGTTATAGCAATTTTTTTAGGATATGTGAATGATTTGTATTGTTTCGAGGCGGTATGCAATATTGTTTACTGGTGAACATTCTGATATATCTTCTTGGACTTCACCAAAATATAAAAAATGAATCCCATGGTCAGCTTCTACCGGATCTACTGTTATTGCTAAGAGTCTTACGACTGAACTTTTTGACCAGATTTTACTCTCCTTTGCCTTCTCATACAATGGGTTCTTACCTGAACTTCAAGAACTTTGCTGACACATCACAGCCAGAGAGCAGTGGTGGGAAGCCAATGAATAATGATAATTTTTCGTTGGCTCGACAATCTTCCATATACTCGTTTACCTTTGATGAGCTCCAAAGTACATGTGGACTTGGGAAAGATTTTGGGTCGATGAATATGGACGACCTATTGAAGAACATTTGGACAGCTGAAGAGTCTCAAGCCTTGTCATCTTCTGTTGCTGGTGGAAATGTAAGTGTGCCAGTGGGAAATTTGCAGAGACAGGGTTCTTTGACATTGCCTAGGACAATAAGTCAGAAAACTGTTGATGAAGTATGGAAAGACTTTCAGAAAGAGACTGTTAATGCCAATGATGGAAGTGCCCCTGGAGCATCAAACTTTGGGCAGAGGCAATCTACCTTGGGAGAAATGACGTTAGAAGAGTTTTTGGTTAGAGCAGGGGCAGTGCGAGAAGATATGCAACCAACTCGATACTCAAAGGATGTTACATTCACTAGTGGTTTCACTCAACCAAGCAGTAACAACAGTAGCTTGACCATAGCATTTCAACAAGCAACTCAAAACCCTCAACAGTTGAGTAATCAAATTGCAGGGAATAACATATTCAATGTGGTTACTACCACATCTTCACAGCAAAAGCCTCAGCAGGCACAGCCCCTTTTCCCCAAACAAACAACTGTCGCATTTGCTTCGCCGATGCAACTAGGGAACACTGCTCAACTTGCTAGCCCAGGGACAAGGGCTCCCATTGTCGGAATGTCTAATCCGTCTGTAAATACTACTATTATTCAAGGCAGTATCATGCAAGGTGGTGTTATGGACATGGCAGGATTGCATAATGGGGTCACATCCGTAAAAGGAGGATCCCCTGGAAATCTTGATCCTCCATCTCTTTCACCTTCACCTTATGCATGCGGTGAAGGTGGAAGAGGAAGGAGATCATGCACCTCTTTCGAAAAAGTCGTTGAGAGAAGGCGTAAGAGGATGATAAAGAACAGGGAGTCTGCAGCAAGATCAAGGGATCGAAAGCAGGTAATTCATAGTTTGAACTTATCTTTATTAGTTACTTCTTTTGTTTCTGATTCTTAACGCCCGTGACTTTTTCTGGTTTCCCTTGTTTAAAAATCTGACTCTCTGGTTAACAATGTTGTATAGTTACACATTCAATTGAGAGACACAGAAATGAAATAGTTGGCAGCATTTCCTCACACCTCCTGCTCAGTGTCTTCTCTCATTACCGTAGACCTTGCAATGCATGCTAAATATATCTCAATCAACAATTTTCCCTTTAGATACTTCATTTCGATCTTTAATCAAGGAAAAATAATAAGAGAAAGAAATTGACAGGAGGATCCATTGATATTACCTTATAAAGCAGTGTCATTAAGTAATTTCCTGGGAGACTTTTGGAGAAGTGTACATGCTCTTAGCTTTAGCTTTAAGCTTAAATCTTGATCACAATTGGGGGGAGATTTGAGAGAGCGTGAGGAAGATTTTAACATGCTGGGATGCTCCAGGTTTGAATGAATATCAAATATAGATAGTAAGTTATGAAATGTCGATACCATTAATGGATTTCCTCATTTGTCTGTGATGTGTCAGGCATATACTTTAGAGTTGGAAGCTGAAGTGGCAAAGCTTAAAGAAATTAAGCAAGAGTTGCAGAAGAAACAGGTATGAGAACTACGGGGTGAGAATTACTGGATTACTTCAATGCCCTTGATAAATCTTATGATCGTAACCATGGCTTTTGAATGTCTCATGCAGGCTGAATTTATCGAGAAGCAGAAGAATCAGGTAGGGATGACATCTTTCCTGTTGCAAATATCTTGTATGAATAGCGATTACAACAATCATGGACTAGATGCAGGGATGTAAGTTTAAACAATTTAAGCAATAGTGCAAAGTACTTAACTTGCTGATTGCAAAATGATTAAAGCTTCAAATGGTTGTTCCATCAATTATACAAGCGAATGGAGTAAACTGATATACAACTTTTCTAGAAATGTCATCAGCTGTGAAGACGTGACAACAAAGGAGACCAAATGCATGTGATTAGTTACACTAAGTTGTTTGACTGTCAGATCAAATGACCCGTCATTGTTAAATATTCTTTTTTTGGTCCAATTGCAGTTATTGGAAAAGATGAATATGCCATGGGAAAATAAATTAATATGCTTGAGAAGGACAGTGACAGGACCTTGGTAGTCGAATATGGAAGTAGAGCAAATTCCAGAGTAGAAGCTTGGACAATTGGTAGACAGGAGGATGAAGCAACATGCCGGCTTCTGGCTCAACTCAGTTGACTCCTGAGAGTATGAGCCTGCCCCTCTACCCTCCTCCCAACTTATGAACTGAAATATGTTTTGATTCAAATCTATTTTGTCAAATGGTAGATAACTGTACGTATAGTATAGTACAGGTTCCATGTACTGTTCATATTATGTAAACAATACTCTTGCATAAAGTATCCTCTTGTGCTCTTTGTTTGCAACCATAGGAGTTATCGGTGCAAGTAGGATGAATCTGTGAACGACAACAAACTCGTCTAGTTCTGCTTTAGAATATCACATAAACCAAATATCTGGAAGTAACTGTAAAAGCAACAAACTATTTACAAACCACTGGATGTTCTCTTACTCTTTCGGAAATTTTTGATATAGATTTGTCCATGTTTGTTGGTATCTTGGGGCACCAAGTCTTAAAGAGGATCTTTCTGACTTACAACATGTTTCCATTTGAGAACTTGGAAAATTCTTATGCTACAATTTCTATAATCCAAAGGTATACCCTACCTCGATACACAAAAGTACAGTAACAAGAAACCATAAACCGCACCAAACCGATAATCCCAGTCAAATCGGAAAAAAAATGTGGTTTGGTGTTGGAAAAAAGAACCCGACCATAATTGGTTTGGCTTGGTGTTGAAAAAAAAAATCCGACCATAATTGGTTTGGTTTGATTTTAACTAAAAAAGGTCAAACCGAAACCAAAGCAATACGACATTACATTTATACAATTTTTAAATTTTTTTTATACATACTAATATTTATTGTAATATAATTTAAACTTGTTCACAGTTTTATCTTTAAACGTATTATTTAAAGTTTTGATTTAACATTCTTGAATGGTCCAATAAATATTTTAGCCCAAAAAGGTAGTAAGTCAAATAAAGTTCAAATTACTAATGCTAATAAAGAAAATTCAATTCAACATTAGGAATAACAATAGTATTGGATATCTATTTTTTAGTTTTGCATTGGTTTATAATGAAAATGCATAACCTAATTTATCTTTTTCTTTAGTGCTTGGTTGTGTAATTAATAGTACTTATTAGTTATACTTATTTTAGCATGACCTATATAGTATTTTTAGATTATGTTAATTTTTATTATGGCGTATTAATTAGTAATATTTTCTTTATGCGATTTTATTATCTTTGTTATTGAATATTTTGGTACAATGCTATGACTCATCTCATATTATTTTATTATTTTCTTAAAAAATATATTTTATAGTTGTATCTTACTAGGACTAAAGAAATATTTGGAGCACAAGTTACATATTTTGAGCCATGAAGACTTTACCGGAAAAAATTCGAAAACTCACAAAAAATCGAGATTGAAAAACCCGACTTTGTTGGTTTGGTTAATAGATTTAAAAACCCGATACCATTGGTTTAGTAATTGAAAATCCGAACCAACCTAACTTATGTACACCTTAACAGTAACGTTTCTCTTAGTGTTAGAAAATGACAAAAATAAACAGTTCTAAATTACAACTTCAAGTCTTCATCTTGATTCTGTTTCTGAATTGCTCATAAACAAAGATGATGACATTTCTGCAATCTCTCGGTGCAGGAAATAGAGTCCACCCATAAGAGGTGCTTTTAGGGTCCACTAGAGCAAAACTCAGTAATTTTTAATTATTGTAACCCTAGCTACTTAGTATACTGGAAACAAATAGACGCTCTTTTCTCTGTTCAATTAATCTAGGGTTTAAACTATGATTTAGGGAGTTCATCCAATACACTATGACAATCACCACCGACCGGTAATTTCAGCCACAGTTCATCCGTCTTCCGCTTCCGCTGCGAAGAACAAGTAAATTCTCGTTTTACGATTTACGCGCTAATCTAATGTGTTTAGTTTATCGCGCTTTTCATTGGTAATAGAGCAATAAACTAGTTTTCTGGTCCAAAAACGTATATAGAATAGTTCTAAATTTATTTGTGAATCTAGAACATCGTGTACAACTGTGCAATTCAGACTGTTAATTTGTTTAGCATATCTATTTTACCAATTGAAATTAGTTTTTAGATATGATAAACAAGAAAAAAATAACATTTACGTCGACCTTTTTATGTGAATCAACTATGTATTTTTTTCTCTGCGTTCTGTGTGCAATTAAGATTTTAAATCAATATTTAATCTGGCATTTTTGAATATCAGTTCTTGTTTTTGAAACTGATCAGAAAATGGTTGAAACTGATCTGAAAAAATCTATTGCCGCCGACTGCCGCTAAGGCCACTGTCAAAAGGATAATGGTTGTTCTTGAAGCCATCTCGACAGCGAAACAGCCATACAAACAAAAAAAGGGGAGGGAGGGGAGAAGAAACATGGCTTCTCCAATTTTAAAGACTGCCAAGAAGAAAGGGAAGAAAAGAAAAGTTTTTTTCTAAACAAAAAAGAAAAGAAAAAAGGGATTGGAGCATGGTGCTCCATAGCTATGGCAGAGAGAGGAGTAGAAGATGAAATAAAAAAAGTTTCTTCTCTTCATCCACAAGTATGGCTGGCGACGTCAAGACTAAGAAAGAGAAGAAAAGAAACTAGGGTTTCTTTTATTAAATGGGTATATTTTCTGAATTGTTTTTAAAAAAAGGGAATGAAAATTTCAGAAGAAAAAGTCTTCTGAAAAATGTTGGTGTCGGCGGCTAACATGTGTAGAGGAAGATGCTCTTCCAAAACCTTACACTATAACAATTATAAAATAGCAAAAAATGGTGTACTTGTTTAAATGGGCTTCAGAATTTATTAGGCTTCAAAAGCAATTTGCCCAATTTCTTTATCGCCCGGCAGAATTGAAATGATGGGTTGAAGGCCCACTTTAAAATACCATGTCATGATCTTCGGCTTCAGATGCCCGGGCCTTTTAATTTGCAGATTATTGAAGTTGGGCTAAAGACCCAGTTTTAAAGATTGATTTGTCATTTTATTTGGGCTCATGGCCTTTCTTTTTATTGAGCATAAAAAGGTATTTATTTATTTATAACAACAATTAGAATACAGGTTCTAGCGCACTACAGTCATTATAAGTGCCTCGATGGGCTATAGTTATGCCTCTTAGGGCATTGTCATTTCCTAAGGCAGCAAACTTAAGACACAAACTTTTCAAAATGTTTCTTACACAAACAAAACCTTCCTGATCTTTGTGATAAGCATCTACCACAGATTCAGGAGGTGAGACAAAAGTACATAATTTATTATAGTTGGACTGCATAAGAGCTTCCTTAGCCAAAATATGTGCAACACTATTTACTTCCCGAAAGTTATGCTTCACCACGATCTCCCCCATTTGCATTGCCTGCTTCATTAACCACCTTTCATAGATTAAGTCACTGTAAGTTGGATAGTCATCATGAAGGAAGCGTATGATTTCTGTTGCGTCTGTTTCCACTTCGATTGGGACTATTTTTTGGCAGACTATAATTTGGAGTGCTTGCTGCAGTGCTTGTAGTTCTAGGAGTGCTTGCTGCAGTGCTTGTAGTTCTACTTGTATTGGCGCTGCTGCATGCGTTTTCTTGTGGCATGCGACAACCCATTGGCCCTTGTTGTCGCGGATAGCTCCGCCTACTCCTCCTAATATTTCTTTTTAAAGTATGTGTTGTAGGATTAGTTGCTAAGTGCTTATATTATATGACTTGGTCAATAATTCTTTTTATGTTGATTCGATTGCTAGTATTGTTTTGGTTTCTATTATTCCAAATGGTCTACATAGTGAATGGGAATACTTCTTCCCACGTGACATATTTGTTGGTTATGGTAATGTTGGCATTTTTGAGTTTTTCAACCCAATGTGATGTTGATGTTTGTGGAGTTATTTTCCAACCCATGGACTCCCAAAAGGATTTAGCAATATCGCATTCCCAGAAAATATGGGCTATCGACTCGTTTGTGTATTTGCATACTGGACAGTTAGGATTTATATTAACACCAATTTTTGTTGAGGTATGCCCGGCTTGGGATTCTGTTATGGTAACATTTCCAGATGAAGTACTTGATTTTGTTAGGGTAATTTAGATCCTAAATTCATTTGAAATTATTAGTACTAGGTTCATGCTCGTCAATTATCTTATAGCAAGAACTCGTAGCGAATACTCCACTAAAACTTATGCTCCATAGAAGATTATTGGGTGTTATAAGTGTCTTGTTTGGGACAAGGGTGTTGATATTGTTTATTATTGTATCTAGCAGGTCAAAAGAAATTTTTTCCAGATCCCATATATCTTTGCCACAGATATCCCTAATTCTTAAGTTGCTCTCATTCTTTGTCAAAGGGCCAGTTATGAAACTCCTAAGATTAGTGATGTTAGGGATCCAGTTTGTATCCCAAATATTTAAATCGGGACCACCTAATGCCATTGTTGCAAATGGACCATCCCTTTAGAAGACTATTCCAAGAATGTGAGCTTATTTTGGTATTTTTTGTCTTCCCGTATTTACTAATTAAAATCTTCGCCCAAAGAGTTGATAGGTTATTAAGAATTCTCCATGCCAGGCTGGTTAGTAAAGCCAAATTTTTTGACCCGGCTTTTCTAATACCTAAGCCACCATGTTCTTTTATTTTGGTAAAGGTTGTGAGCACCTAATTTTTGACTATACTTGTGATTTTTCAACACTTTTAGTATGTAAATAATTTTAAGTTTAACCTACATATTTTAACCTTTATTTCATTTTTCGTAGGTTTTATTTAAGAAAATTAAAAATTACAAAAAAATTATATGTTCTTGATTTTAAAATATTTAGCTAGTATTTTTATTTTACACTCTTAAAAGAAAAGAAAACAATATTAATTAAAGCAAGAGTCAATGAGTCATTTCCATGTGGCAAGATTCTTCCTTATCTTTTGTAACAAACTTATATACTCTCACTCAAAACTCACATGCCACCAATTAATCTTTATACCTACACCTATATATCTTCCATTCACTCACACAATTTAGGGCAACACAAAAAGATACACACAATTTAGGAGAGACCTAATCCCCGAAAAAAGAAGAAGCAGCCGTTCACCGACCTCCACCTTAGCAACAACAGTGCCTCCCCGCCTTCTGATTGTTTTTCTTTCTTCTGGTTCTCAACTTAAAGAGAGACACACATATACACGAAAAGGCACCTAAAAAAAGAGCTAAGGAGATCTACATATACATCTTCTTCCTCACATTTCAAAAGGGGGGGACAGAGACATAGATACAAAATTGAAACAGTAAAAAAGGGAA